GGGAGTGGTTCTCTCCTTCCCCCTTGACCAGCGAGGGAGCCAGCATGGAGATAACAGAGCATTGAGTTACACAGCAGAGAGTTACGCAGGGAGTTTAGCATTTATCAGCCCATCAAACAAAACAAAAGCCTCTCATTTAGTTCAGGCTCTTAAACACCTTTTTCCAAGAAAAGAATGGAGGGACATTACCAGTTACCTGTTGATTAGCTCCAAAAAGCCCTAAGATGCTATCCTGTCTGCCTTTGTCCTGTCCCCCACATCACGGACCGTAGCCAGCATGTGGTATGCTAACTAATGCTGAGAGGTGTCTGTGTAAGGTAGAGGGGAGAGGGGAATCCCTGTGGGGGTGGGGAGAAAGGCCAGGGGCCAGGCCAATGTCGCTTTATCTGCAGTCTCTGCCGGAGCTGCAGCCAGGGAGAAGATGGGAGGGGCCAGTCCTGCTGGGTGGGAGCAAAGAGCAGAGCCGTGCCCAGGGTTGCAAAGCACCTGGGATGCTGGGGGACTCTGCTTTAACTTAAACCAGGAAGGGGTCTGGGACAGACATTGCATAAACCAGTTTGACCCAAATCAGTTAAGTCTGATACCACATTCAACCAGGTTTATCTCAAACCAGTTTCTGCCATTTTCAAACTGGTTTATGTGCACTGAATATCTGTTCTCTTACATGTTTAAAACAATTTCTTATCACTTAAACCCGTTTTATGTGTAATGTCTACCCCTAGCCTAATTGTTTCACAATAAAATTCTGGTGTGTGTGTGTACAGGGAGTCTCAAAAATATACATATATATTTCAGTCATCAAAGTATAGAGACATATTGATTAATAAAGCTGATTCTTGTTTCCTTAGAAATCAGGAAGCGTATTTCAAACTATAGATGGCTGTAAGTGTTTAGAATACCCACCTTTGCTATCCAGGCACTCATCAGAGGCAAACAATAAAGCAATGTGCGTGCCTACGTTTGTACAGTAGATTAAGTGCGAGGCCAATAGATTGGCCCCTTCCTTTTTTATTTATGATTTACCAGTTTGGGTTTCCCTAGTTTTAAAACATGCTTAGAAATTAGCATCTCATTGAAAATGAATGGGATGAGAGCATCATGAAAAGGTAGAGCAAATGAAAAGATATGAGATCTTTGTCTTAATTTTAATATGGCAAGTTGGAGTGCCAATTTTGAATATCTGTTTCAGTTCATTAGATATTGATTTTTAGACTACTAATCTGTTACATGCAATCTCCTGAACACCTGTTAGGAAGTACTTTATCTCTGGAACTGACTTTTTGTCTAGATTAAAATCAAGCCCTGAAGGTTGAAAGGGTCTTTATCTCATTATGTGCCAAGTGCCCCTTTGCCCATATAATGTTTGGATGTTGATGTTCAGTAGTGTTAGGGATTTGGAGGAGGATTACCGTTAGCTTTGCACTGGATGAGAAGTTTTTCCTTTGCACTGAAGTAATGCTATTTAATGCATCACTTCCAGGATGCACTCACAGTACATACGGTTTGCTAGTTACCAAGGTAGAGGATTTTTTTTTCCTGCTTGTGAATTACATTGCTGACATTTGGTTCCAGTTTGTTGGCACTTATCTCTAATGTGAAAATGGAAAATTTGGGGGAAAAAAAACATTTATCTAGTGGCTAGGATATAGGATTAGGGTTCAAGAAAGAGAGAGCTCCTGTTTCTGGTCCTACTGTGGACCTGTTAGGCAAGTTGCTGTGGTTATAAACAGTCATCATCTTTAAAGCAGGATCAGCTGTTCAGCAGGATGTGTTCTGGCATAGCTGGTCTCCTTCACCGGCATGTACAGATGTTGCTAGGGCCATTGTCCCACAGGGTTGAGCCCCTGCTGCTCCTGTGGCTTCAGGGACCCAATCATGCAGAACGGTGGCTGTGGCCTGGGGTGCAGCAGTGAGATGCATGAACTATGGGAATTTTTTGCAAGGGATTTCCAGTTTGCAGATGTGCAGCTTGAGTTGGGGTGCAGCAGCCTGCAGACATGCTCACAGTAGCCTGCAGAGATGTGCTAGAGGTGGTTTGTGATAATAAACAAACATGTCTTCCCATTTAAGGTATCACAAACTGACTGTCTTAGGTCATGGCAGCATTTTTGAGCACTTGCAGCAAGACAAGGGACTAGAATGTCTGTTTGTTCACAGCATGTACCACCATTAAAGTTTTTATGATGGCACAAGGACAATGTTTGCTTGCACCCTGTCTCTCTCTGTGATTGTGTTTTGCTTTCTATTCTCTGATACTGATTTTGATGTACAAGCTTTTGCGGGGTAAGGACTATTCCTTGCTGTGTGTTTGAGGACCTGTTCTCATTTGGAGCCTCTAAGGCACTGCTGCTTAACAAATAAATACTTTGTGTTTTCTTACGTTTATGATATACAATTGCAGGTGCCCCAAAACAGTGGAAAACTTTTGTGTACATAGTCGGAATGGTTACTACAATGGACACATATTTCACCGTATTATCAAGGTAATTTACAAGACTTTTTTGAAGGCACCAGCCCTCTGTCTCCTACTCTTCACATCTTTTTTTTTTTCACCATTGTAGTGGGCCAGAATTGGAAACCTGAAGGCCAACCAGTGCAGAAGAGCCAATCTGTGGGGAAAGCTCTGCCATAAAAGCTCCCAGGCCTCATTCACCCATGCAAATGAACTCAGTATCTAGGTGATTTGGTGGGACAAGCTGGGAGTCCAAACAACATTATGTTCCTCAGTTGAGGTTGCTGCAGGGGGTCTGGCCTGAACCAGTAGACACCCTCTGAAGGTGCATTCTAAAATACCACACCGGGTTCCACAAAAGCTGTCCCCAAGTGGCTGATTAGTCATTTTCTTTGTTGAAGGGTCTGCTATCCAATCTGGTATATTCCTTTACGTTTGCTTTCCAATCCTAATGAGATACAGGGGGATGAAACCCACCCTGCAGAATAAGTGCAAGAAACACCATCCAGAAGGAGAGTAACCCATTTCTGGATGAAAACAGAAACTTTCTTCCAAAGACTGAAAGGAACAAAAGCTAGAATGGAATGCACAATTAAAAACCAAGAACCACTCCATGTGCTCAATATCCTCACTAGATCTGCCATCCACTAGGTGGTAGCTCATCCTGGAACACAGGGCTGGCACGTATGGATTAGGTATGACCGCATTCTAAAAAATGAAGAGTTTGTAGGGCTTTAAATTTTTGCTGCGTAAGATTTAGATTTAAATTAAAACAGAACTTTTTGCAGAAGGAGCAGACTTACATAACCCCTAAGTACTTGAGTGTGATGTGTCAAGCAAGGTAATTTGAAAATTTTACTCTGATGGACTGGACATCACTTCTTAAGAAATTAACTGTATGCTGTGTTCCTGTCCTAGTCTGAGCATTGGAGGCTTCAGCATTTTATTTTAACACTTGCATTGTTATATAAAGCATTATAGCCTGTTTGAAAATCCCTTGTGTAGAATTTCACAATCTTGCACCTTTGTTATATGGAATAAGTCGTCTGTGTCTATATAATTTCTCTGTAGGGTTTTATGATTCAAACGGGTGATCCAACAGGTACAGGAATGGGAGGCGAAAGCATCTGGGGAGGAGAATTTGAAGATGAGTTTCATGCAACTTTACGACATGACAGACCGTACACACTTAGTATGGCTAATGCAGGACCAAATACCAATGGTTCCCAGTTCTTCATAACAGTGGTGCCAACTGTAAGTAATACTTAAAACAGAGTGCAAGGCTTGAAGTGTTAATCCTGTGCAAAAAAGTAGTTGCAACAGTCCTCTAGTGAAAGAGGAGGATGCTATCTATGGTCCTAGTATTTCATTAGAAAGTAAATGTCTGATATGAAAATACGAATACTTCATTGAAATTGCTTCTGCAGAAATTGGAAAGGAAAAAAATGTACCATATTTCACAGTGTATAAGTCAAAGTTTGAACCCCAGAAATTTACCCTTAAATGTTCACCTTGACTTTTACACTATGTCTGGGCTCCAGGGAAGTTGGATTGGGAGCTTGGGCAGCACTCAGCAAGGTAGCAGCCCACCTAGCCAAGCATGGGGGGAACTGCTTCTGCAGAGGGAAGGACTAGGTCCCCCCATGGCTCAAAGGCTGCCCAGCCAAGCAGCAACTCGCCTCCTGGCCATGGGAGAGGGGGAAGCAGGCTCTGCCAAAAGCAGGATCGGGCCCCTTGCCGTTTCTGCCTTAAGGCTCCAGTGGCCAGTAGGATGTCTGATGCTGCCTGGGAAGGGGCTGCCTCACCCCATGGGCACCACTGGGAGGGAGGGGGAAATAGGAGTGTCAGGCAGAGCCAGGTGTCAGACAAGGCTGGCCTTCCTCCTCACCCCTGCCCTTCACCTGTGGGGCGAAGCCGCCCCTTCCTGGGTGGTGCCAGGCATCTTGCCAGCTGCTGGAGCCTGCTGAAGGCAGAAGCAGCGAGGGGCCTGATCCTGCTTTTGGTGGAGCTTGTGGCTAGGGGGTAAACTGCTGCTGGGCCAGGCAGCCCCTGAGCTGCAGAGGGGCCCAGTCCTTCCCTCCACAGTTGTGGTGCTCCCTGGGCTCAGCAGGGAGGGGGCTGCCAGTGAGCTGGGTGCTGCCAGTGGGTTGGGGCCCCATTCAACTTCCCTGGAGCCCACCAGCGCACACAGGCCCAATCCTTTTCTTTGTGAAGAAGATCAAAGCAAAGGTAGATGAAAAACCTAACTTTTTAAATACATTTGGGGTTGACTTATACACCGTGTTAACTTATACACTGTGAAATATGGTAGCTTGTGTGTGGTTTGTTTTGTTTGTTTGCTTGTTTTTTGGGGTTTTTTTGAAGGGCTCAGGACTTGAGAATTTAAGGAAGTGGTACATATTATATTTCTGTATGTGGTGATGGAATTTTGTATTAACAGAAATTGCATTTTCTGTTAACATCTGGATTTTACTTTATAAACAAATAAACGTAACTAAGACAGGTCAACTCTTCTATGTGATGCAGGTATGGAAGCTATTGCTTATGGCCTACTTGATTCTGGTTGTACACAGCAGTCAAGATTTGGCTTTGAACTTGGGATTTTTGTTTTCTGTGCAACTTCACGGCATACTAGAAATAGAAGAGTTTTTATGGGTATCTAAGAACAACAAAACAAAATTCTTCAAACTACTATACCCCTGTGGTTTGTCTTAGAAACTGCACACACAGCAACATTTATTTTAAAGCCTCATGTTTTGGGGGATGCTTTTAAAGAACTTCAGCTGAAGTAGAGGTAACAGTGTCAGTGCAAATTGTTAAGGAGGAACATTTATAAACATGATCTCAAAATGGTCACAAATTTTACCTGCGTTACGCAGTAGCAATAAAAGGCAGAGAAGGTAGGGCAGGATGGCACCTTTAGAGTCTAACTGGTTCAAAGAGGCATGAGCTTTCATAGGCAACAACCTACTTTGCCAGATACTGTGAAAGTTCTGGCAGGAAAAAAAGTTTATATACAGAAGGCGAAAGGACACTACCAAGAGGCAATAAAAGGAATGATTGATAAATTAAGCTGAACAAGGTGGTTAACACCTGGAGGAACACCAGAGTAAACAAACTAGTCTACATAATGGAATTAGAATCTACAACTTCTGCTGAGAACAAAATCAATACAACATGGGATGATTTCTTGTTCTGCAGTTTAATGTCCAAGTTGTTTTTTATTATTTTAAGATTGTTACTCTGAGGTCAGTGATGGGATGTCCAGGAAGGTTAAAGTGCTCCACCGTGGGCTTTTTGTGTTACAGGAATTAATTTGGACTGTGTCCATTCATTCTTTTATACAGGGATTGCCCCATCTATCCAGTGTAGGCAGCAAAAGGGCACAGTAAACAGGTGATGGCCTATGGGATATTGGTGGAGGAGCAGATGAATGAAGTCCAGGTGTTTATTTCATGTGGCTAGCTGTAATGATGGCATTGTCTGTGTTGAGGAGGCACAGCTGGCGCCTGGGTCTGTAGCAAGGCATGGTGGGAATTGGAGTTAGATAGTATGTCACTGGAGCAATGCAGTTTGAACTTAAGCTTGTTCCCAAAAGCTGCCTTGAGACGGTCACTTTTCAAGAGGGGTTGGAAGTCATTAATGATGCATCTGGGGCAGAAATTGGTAACCTGTGGCCCATGGGCCAGATCCAACAGTGCTCGGTGGAGGGGGTTCTGCCCATACTGTACCCCAGTCAGGCACCCAGGGCTTTGGCAGAGGGAGTTCTTCCTGTGCTGCACTGTAGCTGAGTAGCAGCAGAAGCAGTAGAGGTGTTTTTAGAATCAAATTTAATGTGCAAACAGATAACTAACTTTATGTAATGAGTTGAACAATACAGCTTATAAGCCTCCTTGTTTTCAGTGGTCACCTGTTAGACTAGCAAGGAATTAATTTTAGTTTAGTTGTACTATTTAACATTCATCTACATGCACTTATTTTAGATTTAAACCTCTTCCCATTTTAAATACTTACATAATCCTTTTTTTCCTCCTATGCCTTCACCAGCCTTGGCTAGACAACAAGCACAGTGTATTTGGACGAGTAACCAAAGGAATGGAAGTTGTTCAGAGAATTTCAAATGTGAAAGTCAATCCCAAAACTGACAAACCATATGAAGATGTCAGCATCATTAATATCACAGTGAAGTAAGCTCAGATTTGAAAAATTCTAGCTTAAAAAAAAAGTTGTGGGACTCCAAAATAAATAGTGATTTTTATGAGATCTTGACTCTGAGAAACATCAGGACTGAGCAAACACCAACCCTTCTACTGATCATGTACTAAAGTGCTCTGACACTTTATTTTTAATAGTTTTATATTATTTTAAAATAAAGGCACACTTATTACATTTTTGTATTTCTTGCACCTTTTTTTGTGGTTCATGTGTGTTTGCATCATCTAGCTAAATTCCCATTTCAGCTGAAGGCTTGTAACTGCCATTTGGGTGGATTTTATCCCCTACTATAATCCTGTTCTGCCTGAATAAGCAGCATACAAATCTAATAAATAAATACAGTCTTCAGAGCAATTCCCAGGCTATCAATAAATAGAAGCATTTCAGCACAACCAGTTCTGTCACATGCGCACACATCCCAAATTAGACAAAAATTTGATGCATTTTGCTGTGACAAGCTACATGTGATCTGCCTCTTTGGAGACTGTGGATGTGTGTGTCCTCCCAAGTATTCAGTAAGCTGGTAGACTGAGGGTCAACTACAAAAATACCAATGCATAACTTTCCACCAATTTTGCTTGATGCTGAACACAGGGAAGACTGAGCCACTTGTGGTATTCTAACATCTATTCATGAAGCCCCCTGACCTCACCCTACTCCCTTTCATTGAAGTATGTTACATATAATCCTGTCTCTTGTTAGCTCACTACATATAACTATTAAACCCAGTAACTATCTCTGTTTATGTTCACTTAACTCAGTGGGTTCATGGTTAGAGTGAACTGTATTGATGTATGTCAAATGGTTTTTCTCTCTCCTTTTCAGCTGGAATATAGAACCAGATACCTGCCTCTCTCTCTTAACAACAGTATTTTTTCTTAATACAGACATTCCAGGGCCTAGAACTCTATTTGTGAAGATTTATAGTCATCCCTCTTATTTTAGATGGCTGATGGCCGCTTCTGTTGTTGGTCAGCTCCTTTTTAGGCTGCTCTTACGATGACCTGAATGTAGCAGATATTTCAGAGGGTTTGGGAAACCAGGAAAAACTCTTGAGTTAGGACATCTTCAAGCACTACTTTAATTTCTATTAATTTAAACAAATAGAAAAAGTACAACAGAACTGCAGCCAGCATAGTAAGTTAAAATAACTGACAAAAGCAAGTCATTCAATTGTTAAATGGCCAGTGTGCATGTAATATTAATGGAAGCAGTCTTGGTGTTTTATTACCCTCAAGCTCAATTAAGACCTCAATCTCTTACAAAATTAGAGAACTAAGTGGAAAGGTAGGGTGCTTCACACAAACAGGTGAAGGTTCACTTGTCTACTCAGGCATCACAGAGCAGTTACAGCAACTTAAGACCTTGACACAAATATCCCATCTTCAAATTGTGCTAGGAAGTTAAGAAACAGGTAAGTCTACTTAACATTATTACATGGACCATGTTAAAATCCTGAATCTCAGTGAATTGGTGCATACACTTCTCAAGCACAAAATGAATATCAGATATGAAATGTCATGGCCACATTGCCACCTCCTCAGTTCTTCTCTTGGACTATTTCTTATGCCTGTTATTCCCTTTTTCAGAATTAAACTAGGTTACCATAAGTAACCAGTTCCCTCGT